GCTTAGCCCATAAGCTACTTTCTTCTTTGTTTTCTAGTTAATATTTTCCTGTTGAAAAAACGCGCATGTATAAAAGTTGAAATTTGCAATAATAAATTGTCGGACATAATTTTTATTTAAAATAAAAAGTTAAATTGACTATTATAAAAATATTATTTTTGTATTACCATACCAGCAGTAGTATTTATACTTTTACTACTAATATTATAAAAATATTTTACCAACATTACTATTATTTTCTTTTTAATTTTTATCATTTTACATCTCTTTCCATTTTGACTTAATTAAATAACGTATATATATATATACACACACACATTATGTTCCAAGAAAGTTGCTAACTTTGTTTAATTGCAGCAATTTTGAGCGACTCTTGGACCGTCTCAAAGTGGCATCTTTCACTTTTCCCCTTCTTTGGCCCAAGTCTCTGTTGAAATGACCATCATACCCCCCCCCCTCCCAATGCCATCGCAAATCATTTTAATTATTTTAATTTATTACATAAGTTCAAAAAAAAAAAAAAAGGAAGGTAAAAAGCATAATCAGAAGTTTTATACTTGATGAAAGTGAAAAGCTAATTGTGGGATGTAATTTTTTTTTTTTCTTGGAAATGGATATTTCAGTTTAATTTAATCTATTTAAAAATATTTTAATTGTTTTTCAATAAAACCATTTTATTTTAATAAATTTGTTTTTACAAAATTTAATCTTATTATTTTATAATTTTAATTTGTTTTATTTAAAATCTCAATCCCTATAAAATCACACCCAATAAACTTTATGGTAAAGAATTAAATTACTGATGATTTGGGTGACGTGGTATTATGCATAATAATTAAGGTGTCCTTTTAACCGTTCAAAATTCTTGAAGAAAATAATAAAAATTATTAAAAAAGGAGAAAAGATTGAAGAAGAATCGAAAAGAGCTTTTTATAATTGAAGAGTTGTCGGACCGTTCCGTTCCTCGTCGCCCAAATTCTCCGCCTACCGTCGTCGATCAGATTCCGGCTTAAAAAGCTTCTGTTAATTTCGACGAAGAAAGGTTTGTGGTTTTCTTCAGCTGGATCTATTTCACGCTTCATTCGATATTGTATTTATCGAAGCCTTAAGATTTTTTTTTTTTTTAATCTCATTTCGTCAAGTTTAGCGTCATGTAACCCGTACCTAATTCCCAATTTCTGCAGTGTTTTAGAGTGTTTGGTTTTACGATAGAAGGTATAAATCTGTTATGATTACTGAGTTAACTGAATATTCGTATGCTTAATTTGTTTGCATATATTCATTTCATGTTCTATATGTTTCGTGATATTCTTAATCATCGTGGCTCTTTTGTGGTGAATTTTATCAGTTTCTCGAGTGAAGAAGAAAGGGAACGATGTTGGGAATTGTAAAGCAAAAAGTAGGTCTTGGAGTCTTTCCTCTTGTGTTATTCCTTTTCTGTTACATGTTCTTGTAAATCTGGTCGATTACGTCGTCTGCTTTGATGATTTTTGGGATTTATTATCTGAAAAAGTATTATCTATTCTTCAGATGTTGGGGCAGTCCGTAGCGAAGATTCGTCCTGCAGTATCTGCACTAAGAAGTTACTCATCTGCTGCTAAACAGGTGACTTCTGTTACTTATTGCTTTAACTTGCTGATGTCAATACCTGTCAAAATCTGCTCGCATCAGTTATTATTTCATCTCTAGTTTTGTACTCTTTCTTTTCTCCATTGTGTGGATACTTGGAATTCTTTGAAGGCCTGCAATGTCATTAGTTCCTGGTTGGTCGTAATTTGCTTTCTCCTTTTCTGTTTGCTTTTCGTGACATATGCTGAGTTTATCTTTAGAAATTTGTTTTTTAGCATTTTTCTAGTTGGAAAATTGAAATTATTTTAAATTTAAAATTTTTATTTTCTGTTTTGATTTTATGAGAAAATGGGAAGACCTCTTTTTAGACGATCCCGTAATGGAAGGTCTAGAAAAGAATTTCTGAGAAAAAAACTGTTTTTCCTTTTTATCAAACAGTGCGGTGAAACTGCCCACACTGTACACACAGATTAAAGTAGCAATTTTAGAGAAAGAAATAACACATAATTTAACAGATTATACGTAAGAATTTTTTTTTGTGTGTGTGTGTTTTCAAGCTGTATCTGGACTCAAAATCAATATTTGCAAGGCTTGAATTGGTACTCGATTGGAGAAGGGAGAAATGCAGACCTCCTTGCTGATATTTTGGGGTGTAAAATGGCTTCTATACCCATAAAACTATTGGGTCTACTTCTTGGTGAAAAATCCAAAGATGTCTCAGTTTGGAATCTAATTATGAACAGATTTGAATCTAGCCTTGTGGGCTGGAGGAGGAGTTACCTTTCAAAAGGTGGAAGACTTACACTTACAAAAAGAACCACTGTGAATCTAACAATTTATTACTTGTCACTTTTACCGATTCTAGTGAGTGTAGTGAAGCGATTGGGTCCTATTGAGAAAGCTTTCTGTGGGGGCATCGGGTGAGGAAAAAAGATTCCACTGGTAGCATGGGAGGTCTCGAGATCAATTCATTTGATGAGTTGAAAAAAGCATTACAAGGATGATGAATGATAAATTTGAACAGAAAGTAAAGATTGATATTCTAAAAGACCAAGATACCTGTTTGGGGTGTGTTTGTGAAAGAAAATATCATGGGCAGGGAGGATTTTCAGGAGTAAGTTGGATGATTGGTTCAGGCTGAAGAGTTAGTTTTTTGTCAGAGGAATTGTGTGAGGATGGAATTCTTGAACAACATTTTCCCATAAATTTCTCCCTAGCAAGGGATAAAGAGGCAACAGTGGCAGAATCTTTCTCAAATGGGTAATGGTGCTTGGGACGTGGAATTGATCAGAAACCTTAATGATTGAGAAGTAAATAAATACATTAACTTATTCCAGTATCTGTCCGAGCAGGAAATGCCAAAGGAAGCGTTGGATGAGCCATTTTGAAAACTCAATTCGAAAGGGGCTTTTACAGTAAAATCCTACTCTGTACCTGGTGAAGAACAAAATAATGAAGGAGAATTTCCCATGGAAACTGATTTAGAAAATAAATCCTTCATCTAGAGTGGCTTTTTTTTGCATTGGGAGCAACAAGAGGTTGCATGTTAAATTTGGATAATCTCATCAGAAGAGGAATAATTTGGAAGATTTGCTATTTATATAAGAATGATGAGTAGACTGGAAACCATCTTCTTCTATGGTGCTCTTTTGCTTCTTGTCTTTAGTTTATAGCATATAGTCTCATGGGGGTTAATTGGGTAATGGCTGGTTCTATTAGAGAGAAGATTTGGGCTTGAAGAGGTATCCATGGGGATAAGTGCTTCAAGAAGAACCTAAAGTCTTATCTCTTTTTTCTACTTTATGAGTTATTTTGATGGAAAGAAATAGAAAAACTTTTGAGGGTGTAGAGTTTTCTTTTGATAGGATCAATGATGTTTGACTCCAGACTCTAGGTTTTCTGATAAAGGGTTATCCTTTTTATTCTTTTGGGAATTTGGGAAACTTGATAGATATTTTGATAGATTTATAAAGACCTGCATACGGGTTATTCCCTTGGTATTTTATATATATAATACTACTTTTTCTTTTAAAAGAAACCTGTTTCAACAATCTACCTAGACCATTCACAAAATTTTTCACTGTTGATGAGCTGCCTTTTACAACTAATATTTTTCAATTTAGAGAGTGGAAGGAAAAAATCCAATTTTATGAGAATGCTATAATAAAGAACGGCCATAAGCCGAAAAGTACTGTACTGTAATGCGAACTACTTGGGAACAGTCAATTCTTGCATACAAACTGAATATATTTTTTTTACTTCTCCAAAAAGGAGAAGAATTTCCTTCAACCAAACTGTCTGTAAGTTTGCTAACACTGTATTTTTATCTCTTTATATCATTGTAAGAAGGATAGGTACCATTTAAGGTTTAAGCTATACCATTTCTTTGTTATATGAGTATTTTACTATGCATTTCTGTTTCTCATTACCTGCTTAGAGAGATGCCTTATTTTTTAGAAGCATTAACTTTGAATTTTGATCTGTTTTTGCATAGATGACTGTGAGAGAGGCATTGAACTCTGCACTTGATGAAGAAATGTCTGCTGATCCTAAAGTATTTTTGATGGGCGAAGAGGTGATGGAAGTTGAATGATAATTCTCCTTGTAACCTAGTTCTTTGGTATTTCTCTTATGTGTGTTTCATGTCTTTCTAATTGCAGGTTGGGGAATATCAAGGTGCATACAAGGTCAGATTTCTTTTTTGGTTGTGCTGGGACACAATTTTCTCAGCTCTATATTTGAAGCTACTTTTTCACATTTGTCTTAAAAATTGGTTTATTTTGTGCAGATATCCAAAGGGCTCTTGGAGAAATATGGTCCTGAAAGAGTTCTTGACACGCCTATTACTGAGGTCAATATTTGACTTGTCTATTTTTCTCTCTCTTTCTTTCTTTCTTTTTTGTGATAATTTTCATGGGTAAT